TTAGTAGATTGATTTTCAAGTTTAAGTCGAAGTTTGAGTTGAGTCCCTCGACTTTATATAGTATATGTAAATCACATATGAAAAAATACAAAAAAAATACATGTATTGTATATGATTATAAAATATCATTTAAATTAGAATTAAATAATTTCATAATATTATAAATATTTATAATTAAATTTAAATAGAAACTCGAAAATTTGACTTGACTCGATTTTATAAAACCAATTCCTCAACTCGAATAACTCAAATTTTTTTTGACTCGATTCGATCAAACGCTCACCACCACTTGTGACCATCTCTCCTAATGTATTTCAGCTGTAGAGTTATAAACATCTTCTCCAAAATTCCTCAGATTTTCCAGCTTGCATAGATGTTCGGTTGTAGTAAAGCATATCCTGATAAAAATTGGATTTAAGAATAATAATAAATGAAGAACATAAATGAACAAAAAAAGAATAAGTTACCTATATTGATAATCTCTTTCTTGATGATATTATTGTTCTTAAACCTCGTCATAACATTGGAAGCAATATGACGTATGCAATACACCATAAATGCATGGGGAGGTGACCACTTACTTCTCAATACGTCAATCGTGGCCAACAACCCAAGTGAACGGTCTGATCCCATCTTGAGTGACAATATGGGAATGCAAGTTGGACAAAAAGAAATTCTAATGCAAGTTGGACATAAAGAAATTCCACATTTCCTCTAACTCATTTTTAACAATGGCAAAGGCAATGGGGAAAATGTTTCTGTCATTATCTTGTGCAACAACTATCATAAGAATGTGTTCGTATACAGAAAAATCTCATCCACTTAAACCATTTGTTTGCAATAAAAAAAACCTTTAATGGATAACTTGAAAGCCCAAAACAAGCCTCCGAAAACTCTTTCCCTAGGATAACATGTCTATCAAATATGGTCACAATACAAGTATAAGATTGAACAATGGTTCTTGGGATGAAAAATTCTATTGCGTGCAACAAATGTGGAAACTCATTATACAGTTGATCTCAATCACCGCATAATAGTGTCATAGCTTTCCTTTTCGCCATCCACGACTTGTAGTAAAAAGAAATATAACCAAATGTATTCCAGATTGATGTCATTATCATTGAAACTGGGATCCTTGGATTTTTCTCCACCAAAAGCTTGGCGTGTGAACATATGACATCACAATGAGCTCAACGTACAACTGTGCTGGCCGTGAAACATTGTGACTTCCCACAACATCTTCCACTGTAAGTATGAAACATGTATCCTCCACCTATAGCCGACATTGTGGTTTGTACACCTAACAAAATATGTGTTTTGATCAGACTCTACCACATGAAATTATATATGAGCTTTGACACGTAACTCATTTATTTTAGTTAGGCATCCTTTTTAGTTTCAAACTGGAACCCAACTGCCAACTCCGTCGATCTGTCGACGAAGGTACCCTAGTGGACTGTATATATATCAGACATATCATGAATCTCTGGATTCCTCATGGCATCATAGTTTGTCATACATTACAACTGGATGATGATAGTGAGGCGTGTGGGGTTGTTACATTTGGGGTTGACTGGGTGTTAGTGAATGTGCCCAACCTCACGGAGCATTCTGCAATACATGACCACATGAAACTGCTACCTCCTAGACATCATTTGGGGTTGTGGTATTTGGGTTTGACTGCTATGTTTATGATTTTATTTACTGTTTATGGTGTGTGTAAGGTTAGTTGTATTTATGTCTTTAAAGTAATGTATTAGGTTTTTTGTTTTATCTTCTTAATGTAATATTCATGGTTCATTGTTTTTATCTTCTTAATGTAATGTTTTATGGTTTAATTTAATGTTTATGGTTTGTTGTTCTTTTAAACAAAATTTATTACAATATTCTTAACTTTTCAGTGATATATCAATATAACAGTTGGAACTCGTCAACTCATCAAGACTAGTTTCATTTTTTAAAATATATATAATTTTTAAAAAATCCAATCACGGAAAAAAAATAAAATAATATTATTTTCCCAAAATATACCTCTACCTGCCTATTTTCTCAATTTTCCCCCTCCTTGCCCTATTGAAAGAAAAAACCCAAGATTTGAAACATAGTGTCAGATCCCCCAGTAGTAAAAATTCTAAATTTGCTTTTGGGTATAATTAAACTAATGTTTATATTGTTTAGAGATAATCATGAAAATCTTAGCATTTTATCCATAAACATTGCACTTGTCAACTGTCATTTGTTTGAAGTTTCAACTTTGGACGCCAACCAAAGTTGGGACAAATACAACTTATTTATATTGCACTTTTCTGTCGCAACAAGACTAAAAATCTAAGCTTAATTATTTATTTATTATTGGTTTGAATAATTACAGTTTGTTCAAAGAAATCAATTCGTCAAGTGAATGAATCTATCATCTAAGCAACTCTATTTATATGATTTGAGAAAGTTACATTTAATTAAATTTATTGATGGAATGCACGTACCAATTTATTTTAGTGGTTAAAAAAATTGTTATTATTTTAGAGGTCTCATGTTTGAATAACAGTTTGAGTTTTTATTGTCAAATGATTAACAGTCTTTATTACAACATATAATACCACTTATAAACATCCTAAATTATTTTAAAAAAATTGTTAATGGAATAAATGTGATTCGGTGGCTATAGACGATATTTGTTGATGAAAATAAATGAGTTGTGATGGTTATAAATGAATCATTATTTCTTATTTGTTCGATTAATTATAGGTCGGTGTGACGGTGTCTTATCTTCCTAAGAAGATAGAAGAGTGATGAATGGGAGAGAGTATTTTATCAATTCTTTTAGTTTATCGTTATGATTATTTGTGGATCGATAGATTAAAGGATATAATTAACTCACAATAAAATTAATCTTGGTAGGTCAGTAAACCAGTCAGAAAATGATATACAAATAACATTTGACTAAGGTGTAACAAAATTAGAATACAATTTGGAATTCAAACCTTTCAACTTTGGAAGTTTCACACTTGAAGGTCTATCCATGAGGGCGGCTAGGCTGTGGGCTGTGGTGGCTAAGATTCCATGAACCTTTTAGAGTTGGAGGGCTGCATTTGCATGAGCTCAGAGGGATTAGGCAGCAGCCCCCACTAAAAACAACCTATATTTCTTTATATAATATGTTTGACCAAAACTCCACTCGGTGCATTGCATGCTGCATTTTACCGTCGTCAGAACTCGGTCACATCGTCGTATTACAGCGACGGTTCGGTCTATCTTTTTGGCTGACGTCGCCTTATCTAATAACCGACAACCGCTCTTTCATTACCAATTTTCTCCCTTTTCTCCTACGAAAATTCACGTTTTGACAGCGATTCGAATTTCTTGGTTTTCGATTATTATTATAAATAAAAGACGAAAAAATATAAGAGATTCTTACGGTTTAAAATTTTTATGTGATTCTCGTATTATTATTTTTTAATATTGTCCTTCAATTATGAAAATAAATTTGATATAGACTTTTGACCAATGTCTTTTGTCATGATCATTACAGTATTGATGTGATAATTCACAGTATTGATATGACGGTATTGATTGACAGTCCACGATAGTTGATAACATGACAAATGAATTAAATTGTTACTCAGATATGACAGATGAACTGTCACGTCAGCACCATAGATCGTCACATCAGTACAATGAATTGTTACATCGACATCGTAATGATCAACGACGTAAAATAACGATCAAAGAATTATATTTAATTTCTTTTCTAAATTGAAGAGACATATTGAAAAAATTTAATACGAGGATCACGTTATTTTTTTTTTTGGCTAAATAAAAACTCTCTTGTTTTTACGAAAATAAAACAAGTTGAATGTAGGATAGCTCAATCACACAGTTTGGCCTTATTCATGATTTTCTTTTATTAAAAAAGTTCGAATTAGGATATACCACTAGTTTGGCTTCAATTTTTTTATTTTACTAAAGGAACAGGGTTTTTTAAATGCAACGACGAGGATCTCATGAAACTCGCATGATAATTTTATTTTATCATCATGTTTAACCAATTATATATTATATAAATTTTAAGATATTTATATCATACAAAATGATATTGATAGGTCTGTAAATGAACTGAACGTTCAGCGAATCGTTCATGAACCGTGCGGCGGGAAGTTCGTTTATGTTCGTTAATTTATTAAATGAACGAACATGAACAAGATTTTGCGTTCGTTTAATTAAATGAACGAGCATGAACAAAGGGCTCGTTCGTTCATTTACGTTCGTGAACGTTCGATTATATGTTCGTTCGTTTATGTTCGTTCATTTATGTTCGAACAGAGGGCAAATTGAATTTTTTACGAAGATTATTGAAGTTGTTTGGATTTCAAAAAGATTGTCTTGTTGAACAAATTAACTTTAAGACTTTATTATGTTCATATAGTTTATTTATGATTTATGTATGTTTTTGTCGTATTCAAACAAATTAACTCTAAAGTTAATTAACTCTAAAGTTGCAGGTTATATTAATGAATTTTAAGTTGTTATTCTTGTTGTTTACTTTTTTTTACATTCGTTTGTTGTGTTCGAATAAGTTTTTTGTTTGTTTGTGTTGTTCGTTTATGTTCGTTTATTATTTAAATGAACGAACATAAATGAACGAACATGAACAAGTTATATTCCTTAATGAACGAACATGAACAAAAAAATTTTGTTCATTTATATTCGTGTTCGTTTATTTATTAAATGAACGAACATAAATATTCCTCCGATCGTGTGTGTTCGATTCGTTTACATGCCTAGATATTAAAATCTTATGGATCGGCCATATGGACCACGTTTCAAAACTGGTTATCTGAAGTTGTAATATTTGATATTTAAATTTAGGGGGAAAATCAAACTAATTAAATAAAAATAAAACATCTTTGCCTATCACGTGCTCATATAGGAGCTTTCTTAGCGTACACTAGAGTTGAACGCCCACCAAGTAAATAAAATCCCACATTTATATATAAGCACTTAGCGCCACCATAATTCTGTCACCTCTGTTTGCTCTCATTTGCATTCTCTTTTTCTTTCTCTCGAAGAATCAAATCACTTGAAAGGCTTCGATTTCTTGAGGTGAATCCATGGAGTGGGTTCCGGGAGAAATGATTGGACATGGGAGTTTCGGCACTGTGAATTTGGTGTTACCAAAAACAGGGCTTTCCAAATCTCCATTAATGGTCGTCAAGCGTTGCCAAACTCATAACTCGGCTTCACTCAGGCACGAGAAACAAGTGCTGGATCAACTCGGTTCTTCCCCGGAAATCATCCGATGTCTCGGCGACGAGAATTCTGGGAAGTTTTACAATTTGTTCTTGGAGTATGCTGATAAAGGGAGCTTGGCCGATTACGTTAGACGAAACTGCGGGCGGTTGACGGAATCCGATGTTAAAAGATTCGCTAAATCGATACTAAGAGGGCTAAACTTTGTTCATTCCAAAGGGTTTGTTCATTGCGATGTTAAGCTTCAAAATGCTCTTTTGTTCGGTAACGGTGACGTCAAGTTGGCTGATTTTGGATTGGCGAAGAGGAACGGTGAGAAACAGGGGAAGTTCGAAATCAGGGGGACGCCTCTGAACATGGCGCCGGAGTCCATCAGTGGAAACGTTTATGATTTTCCGGTGGATATTTGGGCCCTCGGGTGCGTCGTTGTCGAGATGTTTACCGGAAAAACAGCTTGGAATTTGAAACCGGGGTCGAACATGGCGGATTTGTTGATTAAAATCGGAGTCGGCGATGAATTGCCTGGGATTCCCGGGGAATTATCCGAGGAAGGAAAAGATTTTCTGAGAAAGTGTTTTTCTAGAGATCCAAGCAAGAGATGGACGACTGAGATGCTCCTGAACCATCCTTTCATGGCTGCCGGCGATGACGATGAAACAACTTCACAATGTTGCTTCGAAGAATTCTCGGAATCCCCGAGATGTCCTTTCGATTTTTCAGATTGGGTTTCAACTGATGAATCGGAAAATTCAAGCAGTATTTCATTAGCTTTGGATCGGATTGGAGAATTGGCTTGCGATGAGGCGCCTAACTGGAGTGTTTGCGGCAGCTGGATCAGCTTGAGGTAGAAGAAGATGCCTTGATCAAAATTTGTAAAATTAATTAGAAAACATTTAGGTGGACCGACATTTCTTTTTCTTATTTGGTGATCAAGAGTTGTGATTGGCTACTTAGGTGGTCACACATTGTACAGCCCATTACTTTATTTATTTATTAGCATAAATGATATTATTTATTCTTGTACAATTCATTTCTTAACAAATATATTGAAACTTAGCTTTTCTAGAAAATCAAGCATGAAGTATTGATAATTTCTTGGAACATTTTAGAGTTATATTCAGTTGACCAATCCGTGTGTTGTATTATGAAAAGTCAAAGTCTGGGAACAACTTTGATTAATATTTGAAGGTGTGTGAACCCAAACAATGTCTGAAACTTACGCTTGTTTCCACATTTGACTTTGGAACAAGGCAGGCCAACCGATAGGAAGCTGGAGTTCCATCGCTACATTTCAACATTATGCTTTACCTATGAGCTTCCAGAAGAGGGGGTTGTCTTCAACACATGAAATTGACTATTTCAGGATTAGTATTTTCTTTCGTGGCGTAAATAAAAGTGTGTTTTGCATATAACGTCTTCTGCTTATGTGAATGAAGATATATTTTGTAAGAAGCGTTTTATTGACTTCTATAGAAATCAATCGAGTTAGGTTGAAATGAAAGGAAAAAAACAAAGTATGGAAAAGGTTTATGAACTTTGTCTAAAAAGATAAAATACGTGTGGTGCATGTCATTGATACGTAATGGCACGAGCACACGAAAGAGTACGTGTATTAGTCTTATATTTAATCACCCAATAAATGCATTTTCGAAAGGTTATATTTGAATTTTTGAAATTCCACACGTCTACAAAATGTGAGAGTTGAAAACCCTAATGAGCTTCTTAAATCCCACAATCTAGATACATCATTTTTCTAATGTTTAAACATAACCTTGTAGATATGTATTTATTGAGTGGTTGAACTCAATGCTAATACATGTGTGCTACAATCGTCACTCAATTTGGCCCTGCTCGTGAATTTACGTGTCTCCAACATGCATTTAGTAAAAGATAATGTATTTGAAATTAGAACCCTAATGATTAATACAAGCTTATCTCAGGATAGACGAGATGACAATCCTAATGTACACATAACTATACTCCAAAAATCGAGTTGGACTAAGATTATTGTCTTGAATTTGATAAAATTTAGTAAAAGATAAATTAACCAAAAATCGAGTTCGATTAAAATTATTATCTTAAATGTCATAAAATTTAGTAAAAGATAAATTAAATTGTTAGTTAATAATAATGATCACTTGTCTTTAAAATTATACATTTAGCTTGCTAGATTCTTGTTTGACACAATATGACATATACGTATATTGGATTTGAAACCCATTAAATAATTCCAATTCTTTTTAAAGATCTCATATTCAAAAAACTTTATCTACGAGGATATGTACATTATCAATGAGTAAGAAAGATTTTGAATAAATATTATCTTATAATTACCTTAAACTATTCAATTTGAATTTTAATTGATAATATATTTGGTAATAAGGCTATGGAAACTAGGGATCACTTATTTCTCCAATGTTCTTTTGCAAATTCGGTATGGAGCTCTATTTTGAACCTTAATGGCATTTGCAGAGGATCTTGTTCGTGGAGTACTCACATTTCGTGGGCTTGCGCTACCCGGAAAGGAAATTCATTGTTAACTACCATCATGAAGTTTGTTTGGACTACTTTCATCTACACTATCTGGGAGTAGAGGAATAAAAGAATCTACCAATGACGTTAAAGAAATGTTAATGTCTTACTACTAGCTATTAAAGATTCTGTTGTTATTCAATTTAGGGGTAGTGAAAATAATAGAAATGACCATGTCAATAGTTCTCTTTATATTCAATGGGGTATTGAACGTTGATGTCCTGTTCTATTGTATATTGATGTATAAGTATTGATTTTTGTAAGAACATATTGTATTTTTAAATCAATTTTCTCTGCTCTTTAGATATAAAATTTAATTTATCAAAAAAAAATGCATATCGTACATCTTAGTGCCGCACGAACCTCTATTCGTTCAAATAAAACGTCTTGATTAGACGGTAGTTCCACTGTTTTAGTAATTCAATAACATTAACATCAGTCTAGTTTGAACATTGCCCCTCCCCTTTCCAAGAAAAATTATTATATGAACCTCACTCACCACGTTCGTTAGTAATCTCAACTAATAATATTTTTTTATTTTATTTTTTTTCAAGATATATCTTCACCTCTTTCTACATATAAATAAAAATAAGTAGTTATTTAAAAATTTATTTTAAAATTAATGGATATGATTCATTGAGATTATAAATGACATGTTGAGCCGAGCCATGAAATGATTCTCCCCCAAAAAAAACATAGATGTAAAAATGATTTATCTCATAAACGAGGTTAAATATTGGAAGAAAGGTTTGAGGTCATGTCAGATGAGGACATATGTGATTCACAGAAATTTAAAATGTTAACAGGTGAGTTTAGGACTGTAAATGAGACGAGACAGATCACGAACTACTCGAGATATACTCGGTCAAGGCTCGATAAATACTCGGATCGAATGGACTCGACTCCAACTCGAGCTCGACTCAAGTTCTTAACGAGCTACTTGATATTCGAATCGAAAAGCTCGTGAGCAGCTCGAAAATATAATATATTAACATTTTATTTTTAAAAAATAAATTATTAATAATATTAACATTTATGTATTGATTTTTTAATAAAAAATACAGTAAGATTTTCATTTATTTAAAGTTTAAGTTCGAGTTTGAGGCTTCAATCGAGTTAAGTTTAAAATTTTTTTTTATTTCGAGCCTTTTTGAGCTGCTCACGAGCTTTAGATCAGGATTTCAAGTTCGAGTCGAGCTTGAAAATTTTAAGCTCGCGAGTTTTCGAGTCGAGTCGAGCTCTATTTCAGAGTTTTCGAGTCGAGCTCATCAATACTCGAACTCGACTCGGCTCGTTTACACCCCTAGGTGAGTTCTTTCAATGATTGTGAACACAAAACAGTCAATTAAGTCTGGAATAAACATGAATTAGAAGAGTGGAAATGACAACGATGGCATCCCCAATAACAACATGACAACATTCATTCTTCCTATCGGCCTATCAATGCGAAATGAGAATGATCTTTCCAAGTATTACCTGTGAAAGAATGGCAAAAAATTGAATGTAGGATGTAAATAAATAGTAAGGTTAGGCAAGTTTCTTAGCTCGTCCGCTTGACGGAGCGCCATCCTCTTTCTTGGACCCAGATGCATCGGGTTTTCTAGCCCAGGCAGGAGCTCTGTCTGGCTCGTAACGGTAGTCGTAGAATAGTTCCTCTCCTGCATTTATTCGTTCTTTGGCAAATATACCGACTTGGTGATCACCTGCAACCATAATTACCTGCGAGACAGTTGTTCGGCTCGAGACCGTGTTAACTATGGAAGAAACTTAGCAAGAGAAGCAGAAAGAAGAGAGATTTTCTATTCACATGAATCATACTGATTTATACAAGTTGAGCTGCTATTTAATGGCTGTAATACACAGCTGTACAATCGGTTATACACAACCAATTAACTGCTTAACAGCTAACCACCACTCAACTGAAAGTGGTTTAACATTCACCCTGCTTCTTACACACTTCCTTCAACTCAAACACACACAATTTACTCTTAAACAGGTCAAATTTGGCCAAGGGAAGAGGCTTTGTTAATATGTCTGCTACTTGGCTGCTGGTTGGCACATAATTGATCTGCACTTCATGTGCTGCCACCTTCTCTCGCACAAAATGCAGGTCTAGCTCGATATGCTTGCTTTTAGCATGTAATATGGGGTTTGCAGCCATAGCTACTGCACTTGTATTGTCGCACCACACCTTAGGTTCTTCAGGAAGTGCAATATGCATCTCTTGTAGCACAGCCTTGATCCATACAACTTCAGAAGTAGCATCTGCAAGGCTCCTGTACTCAGCTTCTGCAGTAGACCTGGACACTGCTCGTTGCTTTTTCGAGCTCCATGCCAGCAGGTGGTTTCCATTGTACACACAGTAACCAGAGATCGACCTTCTGTCATCAGCATCTCCTCCCAATCAGAGTCGAAAAAGCAGTGAGAGTCACCAGCTTTTGTGCTTGAGTTGAAAACCAGAGGCCAGTTTCCAGTGTTCCTCGTAAGTATCTCAAGATACGCTTGACTGCAAGCCAATGAACCTCAGTGGGCTCTTGCAAGAACTGTGCAGCTTTGTTAACTACAAATGAGATATCTGGCCTTGTATGACAGATGTACTGCAGTGCCCCAACCACACTTCTGTACTGTTGAGGCTTGTTTAACACTTCCCCATCATTCTTACTGAGTTTGGTTGTAGTTGCCATGGGAGTGGAGGCTGAATTCGCACTAAGCATTTGATTCTTATGTAGCAATTCTGTAATAAATTTCTTTTGGCTGAGGAACAGGCCATTATCCGATCGGTGTACTTCTATGCCAAGGAAATACGCGAGCTGCCCAAGGTCCTTTAGAGAGAATTTCTCATGCAGAGCATGAACTATCCGATCTACTTGGAGTTGCGAACTACCTGTGATGAGAATATCATCCACATACACGACCATGTACACCACTTCATGATCTTCTTGACGAATAAACAACGAGGAATCTGCTCTCGAATGTTTGAACCGTAAGCTAAGCAAGAAGTCTCTTAGTTTAAGAAACCAGTTTCTTGGGGCTTGTCTCAGTCCATATAGAGCCTTCTTAAGCTTGCACACCAAAACAACACCATCACTGGACTGTTCTTCAAAACCAGGAACCTGCTGCATGTATATGTCCTCGCTTAGGTCGCCTTTTAGAAATGCGTTGTTGACATCCACCTGTCTGATTTGCCACTGACATGTAACAGCCAGTGAGATCAGTATGTTTACTGTGAAGAAACGAACCACAGGACTAAAAGTTTCCATAAAATCATAGCCTGGTATTTGAGAATACCCCTTGGCAACCAGTCTAGCTTTCAACCTTTCAACTGAGCCATCAGCATTCTTCTTTACCTTGAAAAGCCATTTGCAGCCAATAGCTTTCCTGCCAGCTGGCAACTCCACAATGTCCCATGTACTGTTGCTAATAAGAGCATTATATTCAGTCATTACAGCCATCCTCCAATCATCATCTTCAAGAGCAGTTCGAATGTCACTAGGAACAGCTTTGCATTGAACTGAATATATTTTTGGTTTAAAAATGCCATGCTTGCTACGAGTTGTCATGGTATGAGTGTTGCTCACCCTAGTTTCTGGGACAGTTTCTTGGCATTGAACTTGCCCAGTAGAGACAGACTGTTCTTGCCGTGAGGAGACATTAGCAGTAGATTCATGAGCAGAAGAATCAGGTCCATTATTCGCTGAGTGCTCTCCAGAATGCATGTACAGTTCATTTCCTGTTGCTGCAGATGGACTAGTACTGCTTGCTTCTATTCCTTGTCCAGAGTTGACATCAGTATTAATACCTGACCATGGCACAGCCCTGGTTTGCTCATGTGGGCTGCTAACAACTGGAACAGACCTTGACCGAACTGTTGTATCACCATCTTTCTTATGACTTGCCGTTTTGTGAGCAAACGGAAAAATGTGTTCATTAAACACTACACTTTTGGACACATAGATCCTGCCATGTTCATCCATGCACTGATAACCATGGTGCAATGGTGAATATCCGAGAAAAACACAAGCCTTGGACCGAAAATCTAACTTGTGTGCATTGAACACCCTGAGATTGGGGAAGCATTGGCAGCCAAATGTTTTGAGGAAACTGTAGTCAGGAGGCTTGTCATACAGCTTCTGATAGGGAGAAATATTGCCAAGAATCTTAGAGGGCATTCTGTTGATGAGGTATACTGCACTAAGAACTGCATGAGACCAAAAATTTAGGGGCATTGAGGCTTGAGCAAGCAAAGTTAGGGCAGTTTCAACTATATGCCTGTGTTTCCTTTCCACTACCCCATTTTGTTGTGAGGTATGTGGACATGACTTCTTGAGTTTAGTGCCAAGTTTATGTGAGACAGCTTCAAGAAAACGAAACTCACCTCCATTGTCAGTTTGCAATGCAAGGATGGTTGTTTTGAATTGATTTGAGACTAAGGCAGCAAATATTTCAAAGGAGACAGCAACCTCACTTTTATTCTTTAAGAGATAGACCCAGCTGTTTCTCGAATACAAGTCTACAAAGCTCACAAAGTATCTGAAACCACTAGAGACAATAGGAGCAGGGCCCCATACATCAACCTCTACTAATTCAAATGGCTGTTTGTAAACAGTCTGTGACATAGGAAAGGGCTGAGTTTTGCATTTTCCCATCTGACAGGCTGCACAAACCTCACTCTTATCTACACTTAGCCTTTTGTTGAGAGCTGTCATAACCACCTCAGCTGCTGGATGCCCCAATCTTTTGTGCCACAACCAGTATTCGTTGGCACTTTTTGCAACAGTGTTATTTAGTGTTGCTGTATCATGCATGGTTTGACAGTCAAAGCTGTACAGTCCTCCATCAAGCTTCCCTTCTACCAGCACGACTCCTGTACTCTCATCCTTAACATAACAAGTATTTTTGTGAAACTCAAAGAAAACTGAATTAGCTTGAGTGAATCTCGAAACTGACAAGAGATTTTTATTAATGTTTGGAACATGCAGAATGTGATCAAGCAAGAGATCCCTAGAGTCAGTTTTTAAAATATTTGAACCAATGTGTGCAATTGAAATAGTGGAACCATCTCCTAGATGCACCTTACCACTGCCGGTGTAGGCTTGTTTGCTCGAGAGTGCAAAAGTAGTGCCAGTCACATGGTGAGTGGCTCCTGAATCAGGAAACCATTTAGCATGGTTCAAAGGACCATTGGCCATCAATGCATTGACTTGTGCATTGTCATGTGGCTCGGTGTCAGCTGAATCTTCATCTTCTGTATTGGTGTTTATAAAAGGACTGTAATGACAGTCAGTTGCATGAGGAAAACATGAGCACACGTTCGCCTGTATGACACTAGACGAGGAACTTTGCTGAGCAGTTACACCTTTGAAGTTCTGGTCAAGCCTGTGCCAGCACCTGTCAACTAGATGACCTAACTTTCCACATAGTTGACATTGCTGTTTGGGTCTCCCCTTATACTTGTTACTAGCAGTATTGTTAGACTTTGCAGACCCACGATTCTTGTATTGTTGAGAGTCCGAGTTCTGACTGGTGTTGTAGCGTGTGAAATTGACCCCTATTGGGAATCTTGAGGAGTCATCAAGGCGGGACTCAGCATCAATGAGAACCGATACCACACTGTCAAGAACAAATGATTCTCTGCTCGCAGTAATCGCAGCCACTGTTGGCTCATACTCGGCTGGAAGACCATTAAGGATGGTGGCGATGTGATCAATGTCTGAAATAGGATTGCCACATGTGGCTAAGAGGTCACAAATTTCTTTAATGGACATGGTGTAGTCTCTCATAGATTGAGTGCCTTTCTTCATTGATCTAAGGCGACAATGCAGGGCCATTATTTTTGTGGTGGATAACTTCGAATACAGTTTGGTGATGGCATTCCAGACAGCAGCCGTAGATTCAGCACCAACCAATTGAGGAAGAATGTTGGTACTAACGGTGGAAAGAAGCCAAGAAGCCAAGGAACTATCTTGCTTGACATACCGTAGAAAAGCTGGATTAACAACCTGCTCACCAGCATCATTAACCATTAGTTTTGTTGGAACCACCATGGAATCATCAAGAAAGCCTTCGAGTCCGAGCCCTCTGATTGTGAGAATTACTTGTTGCTTCCAAAGAAGATAGTTTGAGTCGGTTAGGCAGACATTGATTCTTTTATTAGCAAAGGTATGAGAGCTTGCTTCTGTTATTTGCTCATCCTCAGCTGTCATGATCAAGCCTTGCACCATAACTTTTCTTCGAAAGCAGCCTAGAACCAGAAGGACAAAGAATAAGAAAGAACAGCGCACAGCAAAAGCTTATTCAGGATCTAATGGCGAATGATACCATGTTAACTATGGAAGAAACTTAGCAAGAGAAGCAGAAAGAAGAGAGATTTTCTATTCACATGAATCATACTGATTTATACAAGTTGAGCTGCTATTTAATGGCTGTAATACACAGCTGTACAATCGGTTATACACAACCAATTAACTGCTTAACAGCTAACCACCACTCAACTGAAAGTGGTTTAACAGACCGAAATGAAAAAATTGCAAAAACAACCATGTGGACCTCCAACAAATACTGATACGGTCTTTCTAGCATGAGGTGAATATAGTCTACCTTGGCATAGCTCCCCATCCAGAAACAACTGATCTTCCAACCAAGACCTGTACACGCATCAGAAAAGCCTTGTCAGAACAAAGATATGAATATTCACTACCATAATCTGCTGGTGTCGATTAGATACAGTCTACTGTCAAATTAAGTATAAAAATGATGGGCACTGTTTCTTAAAAACAGTTTGAAGCATATTTACAAACCCGCACATATCCGAGTAATTAAATGCAGAGTAGAAAACATCATTACCCTTTGTTGTTGTTTTAGAAGAAGCTTCATATTTCTGCATTCATAATTGTCACCTCTTTGTGGTGGAACCCCAAGACTACTAATGCCATCACCACAACTGCAGAAGCCAATTTCAAAGGATCAGATGCTAGAAGCGATATGAAGCTTCTAACAGGAAGAAAGAAAAAAATCAAAGTCAGAGCTCACCTAACCCAACAATTTATAGAAACATCTGGATCACATTCCCTGTCTGCAGCAAAACATGGACACTGGCGGCTTCGGCATTGACTTTTAGCACAATGACAACCTCTAAATCGATTCTTGCAACTCTTAGGACATCTAGATAAACAAGCAAATATTAGTACACAGAATAAATGGATCAACATCATCATCAATGCACATTTTTCACCATGAATCTATCAAGATGACAAGATCTAAGACATCCAAAGAATAAAAAATTGGTAAGGGCAGAAGAATGTATTGATGACATATTTTAACACACTTCAGCTTGAAAAATAATAGCTCACCCGCAGTATTTTTCAGAGCATGTTCCATTTAAAACGCAAGAACATTGCTTTCCACAAGCTGTTTGACAACTACATGGATTATACTGCCGGCATGGCTGATCTTTCCTCTCGGTAATCCTTTTCCTGATTGAGTGATATGCAGCTGCTTTCCAGGTATATTTCAAACGACGGACTCTACCCCTTCTTCGTAGGAATCTTGATCTCCGTCTTACTTCATTGGTTCCCTAGAGGTATTAAAAGAAAATAAAAGGAAGACAATTGGAACTAGGTGACAAAAAATGGTAGAATTATATAGTTTAGCAAAAAGGTTCTCATGTCAGAACCTCCAAAGATAAACAAAATTACTGACCATAGCTCCATTAAGGTCATATTTAGAACACCCTTCAAGAAGAGATAGAACACCATTGGCTGCATGGCAAGTCAGTTTATTGTCAGTGCCGGTCATGTATTGGAAAACCTCCCAACATGTCTTCAAACCGTTTAAAAGATTTCTAGCAATCAAACAGCTGTATAACAAAGAGTAAACCATAAGTACACAGAACCAACACAGGAAGGAAACCCAAAAGCTATTACTGCAAACAAAATGCAACCAAAAAAAATGGCGTTACTTGCAAAGAGAGGGTGATCCACAAACTACATAAAGTAACTCTTAAACTATGAATCTTGATTATTGTATGAATTTTGAGAAAATGAGGGGAAGGAAATAAACATAACTGCAACTTTTAAGAAACACTTGTGGCAAGATTCATAGTTTAAGGTGGAAATTCGAACAAATGAATTTGATGCTATTGGATTCTTTAGCGGATAATTAACAATAAGCAGGTGGAAGATGTCATCAAATTCATTCATTCAAATGCAATGCAGATTCTATCTAGTTAGTATGAAAAGCAATTCATTAAAATCCAAAGTGGTAACCTTCATAAACTAACCTGTTCCTGCTAAAAATCTCCACACCTTTCTCAAAAAGACCTTTTTCAATAGCTTTCCAAGATTTATCATCAGTTAGTTCTTGTTTACCTAAATTTTCATCCACAAACTCTTCTCTTCCCAGGCAATCATTACTACTAGTCAGAGCCAGATCATTAACAGTTTCACTAGGGGGAACTTCTCCTTGCACTCCTTTTAACGACCAGTCTTTCCTACTAGACCTTTCTGTGTTTAAAGATTTTACATCCGTATGTGAAGAATACGTTGAATCTTCATTTTGCTTTCGTGGTCTAAACCTGAGTTTCATATCTGTAGGTGAAACACATCCACTCACAAGAGAACCAGATTCAGAAGCTGCCATCTTCTTCTGCCTCTTGCGCGTGCAAACTAAAACACATTCAGCAACTCGCTTGCTATTTCTCTTGAAAATGCCAGATTTTCTGGCAATTTTATTTTTAGAAGGTGATAATTGAGGAATAGGAGAGGATTCGGACAGATGCATGATTTTATGTAGGGACAAAATTGAATTTATAAAATTTCAGGAAGATAAACTTGAACTTATAGAATTTTAAGGAGGTGAAAACAAATTTTTAATAAAAAATACATAAATAAAATCTGAAAATATATAATAATTTTAAATTTTTAAAGAGCAATCGCCCCGCCTAGATCCATCGCTGTATGTTGGTCTATTTGAAATCAATTCAATTTAAAACAAACAAAAAGGCATAGAAATGAAATTAATGATATACACACTTATCACCCGGAATTTTTTTTTTTTTAAATATGTATATTCCTTAGTACTTCATTCATATTTATTAAAATTGTAATTGAGAATGTGTCTGAATTTGGAGTCGCAAATTAATTTAGACAAACATATTTTTTGAAAGACAGAGAGTTATTTGAAAATTACGATCATACTCTTATTTTAAATTGTAATAAATATGATTATAAATATAATTTTATCTTTTCATAATTTTATAAATATTTAGATATAATAAATCTTGTGGTCGTGGGATCGAGTCCCACGGAGGGCATTCCATAATTCGGAGGTCTCCACGGAAGCTGCACTCAACCTGTCGTTGGGGGCAGCCTACTATCATACCTCCCCTTATCCCATTACATATGGGAAAAAAGGGTCCGCTAATTTACTGCTTCACCAATAACCATTTATTAACATAGTTTCTCTAAATGTAATTTTTAATAATTTTTATTTGAATGTATATATTTAAAACAACTGCTTCAATTTAATATCACTTAAGTATTCAAGAACACCATAAAAAAGGGTCCCCTTATCACATTTTTCTCGTATAATCTTTAGGGTAAACTACATCAGATACCACTGAATTTTAGGTCTTATATCGTTTATATTAATAAACTTTTAATTTTGTCAATTATTGCACCGAACTTTGATCTCCGTTTAAAATATACCATTGAACTATTAAATCGTTAACAAAACGATGACGTGGTTAACGATTGCCGACGTAGACACCTCAACAAAACGACATCATTTTGACCTGGCTATTAATGATTTAGCAACCCCTGTATAATTAAAACAAAAATCAAAGTTAAGTGATATAATTGACAAAATTGAAAGTTCAATGGTATACATTAAAAAAATGTAAAGCTAGAAACATTAGACATTTATTTTTAGAAAATAATTATTAGACACATAAAGTTAACTTATGATATAATATGGACATTTATTTTTACAAAAGTAATGTGTTCAAAGATCATCAATCATTTTGACAATAAATACTCATACTCTTACATAGACAATATTCGAACTTAATACCTAAAAAATAACAACAATCACCGTAAAACTTAAAATCAAACTCCATGATTGGAGGTTGATATAGGGATGGTCAAAATACGCAAACTCGACTGGCCCCGACCTGATAGGGGTGGTGTTTTTTTCTTTGAATTTTCGGGGCTCGAGGTGGGTTATGTAGTAAAAAATTTTGGGGCAGGGTGGGGCCATGTTTCAGGTGAAAAATCACCGACCCGACCCAATTATTATTATTATTTTAAATTTTTTTATATTTATATTATTAAAATAATTTAACTGTTTAAAATATAATATATTATTATAATATATATTATTTTAAAATATTAATATATTTGGTTTAGGTTGGGTTGAGGTTTTAGTCTAAAAAACGGGACGGGTTCAGGGCGGGAAAAAACTCAAAATTCCTTAGGATGAGATGGGGTCTGGTTTTACATATATATCGGAGTAGGAGCGGCCAAAAAACTGACCCACCACGCCTCGTGCCCATCCGGTTGATACGCATCTTTGTTAGCGACGCCATTTATAACACACGCCTCTAAATAGCGATAACTAAAAAATCGTCGCTAGAAATCTGTTCCCGTCGTTGCTGTTCATTTTAAAAACATTCCCAGAAAAAGGCAATTCGCTCTGATTGTGATAGTTTAATGAAACAACAACGTCAATGACATATTTGGACCTTATAATTCATTTTAATAGTTGCGTATACATATGGAATTCGTCACTAATGTGCTCATTAATTTCGTGGTAAAGTCAACATTAACCAAAGCTACTGCTGAATAATTAGGGACTATTGATTAACAATCCCTTTGATAAAGCTGCTATAAACAAAACCATTAATTAGACCATACTAATACCGTCCTACATATGCTAGGTCTTTTTAATGCCATGACTTCCCCCCCCCCCCACCCCAAAGGGTGGCAAGTATACGAAATTGGTAACTACAAAGTTTGTACATTCAACCCACACAAAAAAAAATCACTAAATATTATGAATGGAATACAAACTGAATTAAAACAATTCAAAGATATCTCTATTTAATGAGATTTAATTTTTTTTTATTAATCTAGGACGATTACAAGTGATATTATTTGTTATAAAGACTTTCAATTATTTGACAATGAATGCTCAAATACCCTGTAGTAGTTGGTATTTAAACTCGAAACTTTTGAGATAGCTAATAAAATTAAAACATAACGTAAAATATGATTTTAAAAAAAATATACTTGAGTGACCAAAATGAAACCACATAAATAATTAGATAACTAAACACATAGTTTATCCTTATTTTTTAAAGTTCAGTATAAATTTCGATTAAGAATGAGCCACAAAGCCCTATACAGAAACCTTCAGCCCAAAGTTGGAATTCAAGCCATGGAGTGAGCCCCGACATGGTCAAACTCAATGGCCCAACTTTTAGGGGTTTCTTAGTCAATATTTTTGAAACGTTCGAATATGGTCTATGTTTTTAAATTTGTTCGAATAAGGACCTAATATTTTTGAGTTTGATCAAATAATGATCTGACATTTTCAAATATGCTCAAATGAGTACAAATGCTGGTTCATACAGTTATAAAGTCCACTTGTATAGTGTAGAAACATCCCAATTGTTTCAAATTTGATGAGTACAAATGCTGGTTCGTAGAGTTCATACAGTTATGAAGTCCACTTGTATAGTATATAAGCATCCCAATTGTTTCAAATTTGATGAGTACAAATGCTGGTTCACACAGTTCATATAGAAAGGCCAACTCACAATTGCCGATACTCGAAAGGCATTTTTCCCTAGCAAAAGCATAATTTAAAATTATACAAGACGAAATGAGCCGGCATTCTATCGGCAGCATTGAGGAAAATCCGGTATTTAGTGACACTAGATGAGAGGTGGGTATTGCTTCGCCTGCAGATGAACCCTTCTCTTATATTCATTAGCATCCTGCAGGACGAAAACATATTGTGATTCCCAAAAACTTTTTAAACATTTAGACCCAATATTACCAACATCCAGTTTGTCCAACGCAGCAGACATTAGTGTGTGCTTGATTTATTCATTCTCTGAGAATCTAAGCTTAAGAAGCATACCTGAATGAACAGGTGATAGCCTTCGGTTTGAGCAGGGTCAGCCGGATTTGGCGCATCCAGCAAATCCTGGATTCCGACAAGGATCTGCTTCACAGTAATGGCTGGTCTCCAACCCTACGTACAACACAATGGCGTGATATGTCAGGACCAGACGGATGGAATATCACCGATCCAAACATGTAAACAATCGATGAAAAGGAGACGATCCTTACACTGTCCTCGTTGAGGATTGAAAGGCAAACAGTACCGGATGGGTAAACATTTGGGTGGAAAAAGCCTTGTGGAAATTTACACTTTGGAGGTTTGCTCGGATAGTCTTCACTGAAGTGGAGTGTGAGTGGGTAGAAACCACCTTCCCAATCAGTCTGCAACGTAGATAATGCAAGGAACTAAGCCCATCCAAACTTTAAAAGGAACACAAACCATTGATCGAAACATGCAAATCCACTTTCAATGTCCCTTGCTCACCACTCTATATTGAAATGGTTTTGACTTTCTAAAAGGTTATGTTTTTTTTAAGGAAGAAGCATTCTAATACTACTGATAAGATGCTCGGGATAAAACTGAAAGCAACCATATATCACCTTCAAAATTGTTCAATATATTTAAAGACAAAACAGAGCTTGGAAATAGAAACACCCAGAAATAAGATCAAGGCTGTCATGCTAGAAGATCGATAAACTATGGTGAATAATGAAACCAACAGCCAATACAATTTCAGAGGCACGAAATCATTACAAGAACAAAATAAATACCACATAGCTGTCACTCCCCGAGTAACATAAAACCACCAATGCTGCAAAGCAAAACCTAAAACTTGCAACCCAAACTGGTTAGTTCTCAATTTGCAACATACAAACAGCCAGATATCCTCAAGACTTAAATTTCTAAAAGCAACTGTCTGAAGTACAATGCTACTTATTGAAATTGCTGTTGCCTTAGCAGGCAGTGAGCTAATTATTCCCCGATCAATAATGCAAATAATCTACATTAGCGTGCAATGATAACGAAAAATGAGACCCGAGTTTAATCAAAAATGCACCCCAAGTTGATTAATGAATAATTACTAGAGGACAGCTTATAAACAATAAAGTGAGCTGCTAAATAAGAACAGCCAAAAATGTACTATCATAAGAGGTATTTTGTGTTAAAAAGGTGTATGTGTGCTTCTATGCTATTGCAATTAAAATGGAGTGAGCTAGAGCCTCACCAACCATTAGAACTCCTGAAATAAAAAGGAAGCAGAACCGTAAGAATAATTCAGAGCAGCTTTCGGAAAGGGGAAAGGGTAAAGAGCCGGATGAAAACTAAAAACAAATGCAATTATTTAAATTTAATGCAAAATAGTAAGGTATTAATCAGAAGCTACAAAATACGCCAACTAACATAAGGCTCACTGAAATGAAGATAACAATACTAAGTCGAGATCATAACAATATCGATAATTAATAGACCGTCTAGCCTCAGTGTCCACCTGTGTTAGTTCACAACACTACCTATAAATCATGTAAAGCTCACAGAAAAGATTCCTTGAATGCATTTTAAATAACAAAAATTTGCTCTCATTAAAGCCTAAATCTTTTCTTCTTTTCCCTTTTATAAAAAAAAACCATTTTTTCTGAAACATTTTGAGAAAA